TTGTTGAAACTCCTATATGGAGTAAACAATATCCATATCCACTATCTGTGAATGACTTTATAAATGTTGAAATTAAAAAAATGCTAAAAGACGGTATAATTCGTCAAAGTAAGAGTCCATACAACTCACCTGTTTGGGTTGTACCAAAAAAAGGTATAGAAAGAAATGGAACACCAAAACTAAGAATGGTGATTGACTTCAAGAAATTAAATGAACAAACAATTTCAGATAGGTATCCAATACCTGATACTAATGTTATTCTTTCCAATTTAGGAAAAGCATCATATTTTTCTACAATAGACTTGGAATCGGGATTCCATCAAATTTTAATGAAGGAAGAAGACATTGAGAAAACAGCTTTCTCAATAAATAATGGTAAATACGAATATTTAAGACTACCATTTGGGTTAAAAAATGCTCCTAGCATTTTTCAAAGAGCAATGGATGATATATTACGAGAATATATCGGAAAAATTTGTCATGTCTATATAGACGACATTATAGTATATTCAAGTTCCTTAGAGGATCATGAGATTCATTTACAAAAAATAATAAAAACCCTAAAAGATGCCAATATGAAAATTTCACTTGAAAAATCTAAATTTTATCAACAAGAAGTTGAATTCTTAGGATATATAGTCTCCTATAATATAATTAAAACCGATCCAAAGAAGATCGACACAATAAGTAATTTTCCTATCCCTCAGACATTACGTCAATTAAGAAGTTTTTTAGGAATGACAGGTTATTATAGAAAATTTGTAAAAGACTACGCGTCAATAACTAAACCACTTACTAAATACTTATCTGGTGAAAATGGAAAAGTTTCACAACACATGTCAAAAAAAATAAAAATCAATTTAAATGAAGATGCAATTAATGCAGCAGTGAAATTGAAAAATTTATTATCGAACGAAGTAGAACTGGCACAACCAGATTTCAATAAAAAATTTATTCTCACTACCGATGCTTCTAATATAGCAATCGGCGCAGTATTAAGCCAAGAAGGCAAACCAATCACATTTATTTCTAAAACGTTAAATTCTACAGAGCAAAATTATGCTACCAATGAAAAAGAGCTTTACGCTATAGTATGGTCTTTAAAGACATTAAGAAATTATCTTTACGGAGTTTCCGATTTGGAAATACATACCGATCATCAACCCTTAACTTTTGCGGTATCTACCCGCAACCCCAATGCTAAAATGAAAAGATGGCACTCATTTATTGAGGAATTTGCCCCAAAAATAATTTATAAACCAGGAGCTACCAATGTAGTAGCTGATGCCCTTTCAAGGCAATACTTAAATCACATTTCGGAAGAATCTTCCTCTATAAATACTCAGCACTCAGCTGAAAGTAGTGATAACAACATCATTCAAGAAACAATGAAACCCCTTAATCAATTTAAGCAACAAATTCTATTGAGCAAAGCCTCATTTACTATCCATGAATCAAAAACGACATTTGGAAAAATTAGACATATTATTGAGTATGATACTCCTGAAAATTTGCTTACTATATTAAAAGATTATTTACAACAAAAAATAACAACAGCAATTCATTGTACCATAGAGGATCTTTATGAAATTAAAAATATTTTACTAAACAATTTCAATATTAAATTCGTATATACAAAACTATTTCCAATTGATATAGTCAATCTTGATGATCAGGCAGCCATAGTAGAACAAACTCATATTCGCGCACACCGCAATTATAAGGAAAATGTGAAACAAATTCAAGGCAATTATTATTGGCCTAAAATGAAGGATCATTTCAAACAATTTGTTAGAAATTGTGAAATTTGTAATAAAAACAAATACGACAGGCATCCGCAAAAAGCACAAATTGGCGAGGCTCCAATTCCTAAGAAAGAGGGGGAGCAGATTCATATAGACATTTTCTTCGCCCAAAAATTAAAGTTTCTCACATGCGTTGACGCATACTCAAAATATTTAGTAGTTAAATTAATTGACGACAAAAGTAAACTTGATGAAAAAGTATTAGAAATTTTGCAAAACTTTCCTGATATTAAGAAAATAACTTTAGATAATGAGCCAGGTTTTACAACAGCTCAATTTAAATCTTTAATGCAAAGATTAAACATTCAGGTATATTATTGCGACCCAAGGCATAGCACTACTAATGGTCAGATTGAAAGGGTTCATTCTACAATAATAGAAATTACAAGATGCATTAAGCAAGAATATAATTTAATAAGTGACGTTGAATCTATCTTCAGAGCTGTTCAACAGTACAACAAAACAATACATTCTGTCACAAATAAAAAACCAATTGATATATTTTTCAATAAAATAAATCATGATAATAATGAAATAAATTTAAAAATTGCTCAAAGTAAAATGATTAAAAGGAACGAAATTAATAAACCCCTAAAAACATATAAACAAAATGATATAATATATGAGAAAATAATTGGTGAAAGAAATAAGCTTCAACCAAAATTTAGAAAACAAAAAGTTAAAGAGGACTTAGGAAACAGGATAAGAATTTTTAAGAATAATAGAATAATTCATAAAGATAATATTAAAACGTAACATACTTTTCAGACAATGGAAATTTTTATCTTAATAACATTATTAACCAAATTGGTTACAACGGATATCATAGACTACACGCGTGAAGACTATGTATTAATCGAAAACGATAAAGCAGCAATCTATGATGACTTTGGTGAAATTTATCATATAACTAACTTAACATATTATGATCAAATAATACAACAATTTCAACACGCATTAGATACAGAAATGAACTTCGTTAACAGTGATAATAAAATTAACTATGTCGACATTGACACAGATATTCATATAATCAGAATACTTTTTACACAATTACAAAAAATAAAAGTTCACAGAAATAAACGTGGTATTAATGAAATAGGAACCTTATGGAAGTGGATAGCAGGTTCACCTGACCACGATGACTTTGTTAAAATAACAAACAAAATAGAAGAACTAGTACAGAACAATAATCAACAATTTGTTACAAACTCGAAAATTTTTAAAGCAATAACCGAACTGAATACAATTATAAAGAACTTGAATAGTAACACTCAATTTTTTAGAATGACAAAACAACAAAATAAATTAATAATGAACGAATTACAAAATACGTTACAAACTGTAACTTTAGCAAAAATGGGTATTCTCAACACAGCAATTCTGAACTTAAAAGAAATTCAGGATATTACGAAACATGAACACGACACTGTTACTATAACCGACTTAATGGATACCTCACAATTTAAAATTTTACAAAACAATGATCTAATTGTAGTATATATCAAATATCCGATTATTAAACAAAATTGTAAGAAATATGAAGCCAGAGCCATAAGTAAAGAAGATGGCAAATTATTAATAGATAAAGAAATTGCAAAATGCAATGATAAATATTTAAATATAAAAAATTGTAAAATAGAAATAAGTAACACATTTTGTCAATCTATTAATGAAAAATCCTGTTTCACGAATTTATTAAATAATGAAAAATCTAAATGTAAAAAAATAAGAGAAAGAAATAAAGAATTGGAAATTATTAAAGACGGAGCTATATTGATCTCCGGAAAGAATGTTGTAAATAATAAAAACCTAAACGGTACATATTTAATAACCTTTGTTAATCATACTATTATTAATAATCAAACTTATATTAATCAAGAATCCATAATATGGAATTATGTAAAAAATATTAAACCAGCAAATTACGAAATATCGGAATATATAGAATCCGAAAATAAAGATTTGAAATTTGAAAATATTAAATTGCTAGATTTGTATAAAAATAAAATAGAAAGACATCCAACAATGTCAATTATTATTGGATTAGTCATAAGCACATTAATTATATTTATATTATTCAAAATTATTATGAAAATTAAAAAGTGTAAAAGAAAAATTAATAATAATAAGAATGAAGAACTATTCATAGAACTGAACTCTAGAATACAGACATTGACTGAAGCGGGACGCTTCAATCAAGAAAGAGGGGAGTTAAAACCCTAAATTAATATAACGGCACTGAGCCACTGTTTGATACTTTTGTATCTTCAGAATGCGTACTTAGATATTACGCATTAAAATATGTTTATATAAACAATCTGAATCTGGGTCAATGCTCACATTTCATTTGACACCAATGCTGCAAAGGAAAACAAAATTGTTTTCTTTAAAACTGTAACACTTTTGAGATATTTGATTGATGGATATAAACATCATCTTCCGGCTACTGACGCCGAAGCTAAAGACGCTGACGAGGTGCTTTAGCAAATAGAAGCTCCAATTCTATTGGTTGGAGGAAAAGACGCTTCTAGAAAATTCTCAGGAATTTTAGAAGCTGTGTTCTAAGTGGATAAAACCCAATTTGGTAATCAAAACAATAACTTCAGTTATTGAAGAATAAAACCTCAAGAGTCAGTCTAGTTCAAGCATTCGAGAATTCACCATTTAAACCTTACCTATTCGGAAAAATATAACTTGTAATATATATATATATCTTTAATATAATAAATAAAAATATTTTTTTTAAAAATTAAAACTCGTGACGAATAAATTTAATTTGCACTTATGATCCATTCTGCTTGAAGGTACATTGTTTTTAAACCATTTCTTAACAGAAATATTATCATAAAGTAGTTCCCAAAACATAAATATGGAGTTTAATAGCCTATCCCTATATTTTGTTTCAATGTTATTCTAATAACTTTTTATTTTAGTATCTTACAATTTTTGTTATCACGTTAAACTTTTAGGTATATTATAATATGCTGAGTTTTTTGATTAATAGCTTAATAGGTTTTTATATGTATTTTGAGATCCATTATATAGAAAAATGCTATTTGTTATAACTTAACATAAGCATTTTGTAATGTACCACCACCTTAATTTATTAAAAATTTTTATTGAAAAGACAAGTTCTTTAATAAATATATATTTTTATATAATTAAAATTAACTTACCTTTACTTCCTCACAGAGTCAATCCATTAGAAAAGTTACAATTGACGATACTTCGCGTTACTATGCAACAATATGAGCAATATCACTATGACAAGGATATGTTGCGAAAATTGGCAAATAAATTGGGTAAAATTGAAATTGAATCACAATGTGATTTAGAGCAAGTACGCAATATGCTTAATGCCAAATTTGAAGAGTCTATAACGTATCCAAAAGTATCACAAGATTGGTGTTTCATTGATTGTAAGTTTGTTGATTATTTTATATCTAATTTTATTATATATAGTATTGACTGGAAACAATTTTAATTTTAGCTTGCACTGCAGAACATTATTTCCGCATTGATCGTGCCCAGGAACATTTGCATTATATATGCGATATAGCTATCGATGAATTATATATACTCGATCATGAGGCTGCCACAATGCCACAAACTCCGGATCAGGAACGTTCATTTTCAGCATTTTCACAGAGACAAGCACAAAATGAACGTCGTAACATTGACCAGACAGGCAGATCTGGCAGCACTGGTATGCAAAAGCCCTATTGTGATAAGCGCATGTTTTGCCATTATTATTTCCGAAAAAAGAATTTCGAAGTTTAAATATTTCTATATGAATCTGTAATTGATAAATGTAGTGTTAATATTAGTCAAAAAGTTTCGAATAATAATTTAAGGAAATATTGGAAAAAAATATATAAATAAAAATATATTTGTTGTATGAGTGTATGAATTGAGAATTTATATAAAATATTAATTCATTTTAGTATAAGCATTTGTAAGGATTATAATTTTTCATTGTTTTCTGTTTAATTTTTTTTATCGTTGATATCGTTGTCTAACATATGTTTGACTTTTTATTGATTTTATTATGTATGTAATATATTTTATTTATAAAAACTTTTTTAAATTATTAATAAATTATTTTTCTTAGATTTATTTAAATTATGTTTTATTGTTTACTTTAATATACGTTTATGTTTACTTGTATATATATATATTGATGTTTATTTCAATATAATTTATATTTTATAATTATATAATTTGTATTTAGAATTACTTTCAATATTTCGTTTTGGATTTGCTAATTTGTACATTTTTTTTCTTCCAATTTTGTCATTAAATTAATTTTAATTATAAAATTTAAAAATAATTATTTATTTATAATTAAAAACTTTTTTGATTTTTTAACATAAACAAGGTTTTTTAATTCTTATATATGCATATTTGTTATAAATTAAGAAATCATTTTTGTTTTAAAAAACGTTTACAAAAATTCTTTAAATAATGAACACATTATCAAGAGAAACTAAACTCAAAAGCATAAAGTAAATTGTATTTTAAATTATAAAAATTAATTTGAAAAATTTTTTATAAATATTAAAACTAAAACAGCTTTTTACTGATTTATAACTTAAATTTTTTAATTATGTACAATATCAGTAATAATCAGTAATTGTTAATATCAATATTATTTATAACATATTTATTATTTGCTTTCATATTAAGTTTAGTTATGTATTATGATTTTAACATAATATTTATTATATAGAATTATTTGATGATGGATATTTGGCAATACATGAAACAACTGTATGGTCAACCAGAAATTCAATTAATTGAAAATAAATAAAAATTTTGTTGTTACAATTTACTACTGCTCGAAATCTCTCTATTAAATAAAATAGCTTCTATCTAATATTAAAATCAAATTTAATATACAATGTTTTTTTATAATCCGATTGGTGTAAATTAGTTTTGAAAGTTAATATTAATAAATATTAATCCGTATATATATATAATATATATTTATATATATAATATATATTTATACATATAATATATATTTATATATATAATATATATTTATATATATAATAAATATTAATCAGTATATATATTAATCAGTATAAATATATATACAACAAATATTAATCAATATATGGTAAATATATATATGATAAAATATTAAACAGTAAAAATATTTATATAATAAATATATATCAGTAATTTTTTATAAACTTTATTATCGATCTTATTTATATTTTATATTAAAATTATTTTTAAAATATTATTTTATCTTATTCATAACACTCATACAACTAGAAATTTGAAATATACTTAGCTGCATGTGATTTTAATACTAAAAATTTTAAAATAATTTTATTAACATAAAATTTTAAATATTAACAAAGTTTTGGTGTTTGTAAATGAAATAGTTTCAATACTAAAAATATTTGTAAAAACAAAACATATAAGTAAAAAATAGAAATTACTAAATGAAATACGTAAGATTTCCGAGTACAGCTTAGTCCTTGCCGTAGTGATGTAAGTAACTAAATTTTGCAAATTATAAGGATCAAGCAAATAACTACAGCAACTGCTAAGTAACTTATGTTAACAGCAAAGACTAAACCGTATTCTGTCATCTACGTAACAAACTAAATTTAACACATAGAAGAAATAGGTATGTTTTCCAAATTGGCATCAATATTTTATTATAAAATTAAAAAAAAAATTTTTTTGAAATAATTGCTTATAGTAATTAATTTTTAATGCTTAAATTTTTTTTTTATTTCTGGTTAATATTTTAAGTTTATTGCTCCATTCCTTTCGTTTGATTTTTAAATATTTTGAATTATTTATATGACTTAATTAAAAAAAAAAACATTTAAAATTCTTTTTGTGCCACAACAAACTAACGTTTCAAGACGAAGACTTACAAATTGGAAAACCAGTTAGAGTTTTGAAGTTCAAGAGGTAATTTAGCAGCAGATACTTTCACTACTCCGGTATTTTTAAAGCTAGTTCTTTATCCTTTTGAAAATATTTTCACAATTTTTTTAGCCATTGAAAATGTTTTGCTGCTTTTTTGAATGTTTTTTGAAATATCCTTCTCTATTTATACACTATCTTCTACTTACGAAAACTATTTCAAAGTATTGAGTTCAATTTAAAGTAACATGTCTATTTTTTATGAAAAGTAACCACAATTTCTCATAAGAATTTTTCTCTTGTTACATCCACTTCTAATATTTGAAACCATTAGTTAAACGCATTCAAATCTTTTCACAAAAATACTTCTGACTTCTGCATAAACTGCAGGGTCGGTCACTCCTCTGTAGTGATATTTTTATATATATTATAGCACATTTAAATGAATTCAAATTTAATTAATAACATTCACATTAACGCCTTCAGTAACAATATTCATCTACACAACACTCACGGCTTGCTTTACCTAACTTTTGACTAACTAATTAATTAATTGATTTATTTATTAAAATTTTATATCAATTTTTATAAACTAATTTTTTTAAAATGCATGCAGCACTAAAGAAAGAATGTTCAGTTTTAATGAAGAAGTATTCGGTTATGGATTCAGGTATCCTTGTTTTAAATTTAGCACAGATTTTTATCCTTAATTTTTTAAATTACGTATAATTTATTGATTAAAATTGATTTAATTAATATAACTAATGCAATTTTTTTTTATTTTCTTTTCACTATACTATATATAATGCACACACACGCACACACACACACCCTGCCTACACAACCAAACGATACACAAATCTACTCTACTCCATTCTGTTGTTATTTGTATTCTTTGTTTTATAGCCCAATTCTGGAACAAACTTCCGATGCCGTATTATTAGCGGCACAAAGTGGCGATTTGATTATGGTAGTGTAGCCAATAGCAATACTAATATTATAAATAATGTATTTAAATGAAATATTTACTAATATATTAGCTTAACACTAGTTACATACTATATATAAAATATAATAAATTTCTAAAAAAAAAAAATAACTGCATGATGCGTATTGGTGGATATAGTAAAAACAAAAAATAATGTATTCATAGAATAAAAACTAATTTTGATATATATATATGTAATGTATATAATAATATTTATATAATATTGTTTTCATATTTTCTTTTAAATATAATAATTAATTTTCAATAAATATTACTTATCCTTTATAGTTACGTGCACTACATGAACAAGGATACTCATTACAAACAGTAAACTCAAAAGGACAATCAGGTTTACACTTCGCTTGCAAATATAATCATAAGGATATTGTCAGATATATAACATCTCATACATCACGTCGCTTAATAAATTTAGCAGAAAAAGAAAAGTAAGTAGAATAGTAGTTATTTAAAAAAAAAGATAAAAATAAAATCAATACGGATATTTTAAGAATAATGGAAATCATAAGAATAATGTCATTCAAATTGGGTTATGAAACCAATTTTAGTTATCATCATATAACCCATATGTATTATATATGTCCAGGTACTGAAGTCCTTATCAAAGAAAAAATACAAAATATTCACTTTGTATACATAACCTTAAAATAAATATTGTCTTAAGCAAATTTAATGAAAAGGTTAATAAAGTTGAAAGTTCACTTTTAATTTTTCTCAATGCATCTTCAACTATTTTATTATTATTAAAACTATTGTCGTGAAATCGCCCAACAGCCGATACTGCGGCCAGAAGAGTGCTATTGTATTAAATTCCCTTTTTATTACACAAAGCTTCGTGACAAAATCCAGAACAAAATCTGGAGAAGAGCTCTTATTCTGTTCTGGTGATAGAATATCCATATGAAGTAAGTTTCTTCTGTGCGATGTGTGTTAAAGGTGGACAGTCACAAAGAATATGCATAGTTATCTCATCATCTTCGAGGTATAATCTGCATTCCGAATTAGCAGATAAACGAAGTTAATGTAGGTGTTATTTCACATCACCTACACCTGCACCGGGTAATAAAAAACATTAGCAACCTTAAATTACCTTTTGAGAATTTAAGAATGTTTTTATTTCTTAAACTAATTTAATCAAAAGGTTGATAAAGTTTAAAATTTACCCTTTATTTTTCTCAATATACCTCCAACTATTTTTGTTCATTGATATCTATCCGCCGCCAGTATTTTCTATTCTTGTTCTCAGATCAGTACATACTGTATCAAAAATATTTTTATTGAGTCAATCCCTTTTTCTTTTTTTCTATATTATCGCAGTGGCATTCGACGTTTCTTTGCTATTATTTGGATCTTGTATCTTGTTTCGAATTTGAAATGAAATGTTTCATAAAAAGTTACTTTTATAAAGATATCCTACCAATTTTTCAGAGTTCAGGACCATATACAAAACTACCCTTGGAAATTTGTGACAGTGGACTACTGAACATACTGCGCCATGATTTAATGCACAATTTTAACAATCCATTTTTTTCTGCTCTTCCAAATTTTTATTGTATATATAAATAGCTAAAGCGCTTAGTTTTAATAAAAATTGTTGCCCGAAAACACTTGTCCCCTAGGATGATGCCTTAACCTTATCCATCGTAAGAATGAACCCATTTATATATATGAGCTTTATATATATTTTTTACATGAAAAGTAAGTTCTATTAGCTATTTGTATTGTGTACAGGATTTTAATAACTTACATCAACACAATATGATACTCTCTTCTATGCAAATTCTACTCGACAACTTTTAAAGCGTACGTAAAAACGTGCACGAATTTCAAAGGAGGATCTATCATTCCTATCTCTGGTATTTCGATTCAGTGTGAAGCCTTCTTCATAAGTCACATTCATTTTGTGTGATCCGATGTTAACGTCTTTTGTTTGGACATGTTTTCCATTGATGTTTGTATGCTTGTTTTCTTTTTATATCTAGTTTATTCTTTGATCGTCCCCTAAACGCAAGTATTCTTTCTATAGCGCTGTAGGTCCATAATTAATGCCTTTTTCTTTATCTGCTTTGGTATTCAGTCCAGTCCGTTAAGCATAGCCTCTTTTATGAACTGCATTCATTTCCTTGTATCTGATGTTAACATCCTTTGTTTGAAATTTCTGGAAATCATAGAAATTGTCGAGTCCGACCTGCTGTTGTAATGCTTGGTTTGCCTAAGAGCTAAAAATTGCACAAAAAATCTTTTGAAACCATTAGAATAAGGTTAGATACAAAAAAAGTTCGATATATGGATACTAAACGTGTTAACCGCATGGCAATAAAATCTCATCGACACATTCCTGAAGCGGATGGTAACTGCTGATGAAAAGTAGTGACTGACCACTTAAGATAACGTTAAGCAAAAACAGTCGTGGTTGAATCGCGGTGAACCGGCTAAAAAGGTGGCCAAGCCAGGATTGACCGCCAGGAAGGTTTTGCTGTGTGTTTAGTGGAATTGACAGGGAATTATCTACTATGAGCTGCGCCCCTACAGCAAAACTCTTAACTGGGAACTGTGATATCCATCTGAACAATTAGACCGTATAAATGAAGCAATCGACCAGAAACGGCTGGACAATAGAAGAGGAATTGTGTTCCATCACGACAACTCCAGGCCACATACATCAATAATGACTCACCAAAAGCTACGGTAGTTTGGTTTCAAAGTTTTTTAGCGTCGACTTAATAGTTCAGATCTAGCGCCAAGTAATTGTTTCTGTATAGCAAACAATTTTTCTGGTGAAATATACGCTTCAAAAAACGTTTCTGAAAATCGACTGTCGCAATTTTTTGTCAATAGTTAAGAGGACTTCTATGAGAAAAATATAATGAAATTACCTTTAAAATGGCAACAAGTTATCGAACAAAACGGCACATATTTCACCTAAATCGGATCATTCTAACTATAGCCTTCAATTTCTTATAAAAATAATGGATTTCTTTGTACACTTATTGTTTACTTTGTATACGTATTATTATATTTTGTTATCATTTGTTTAAATTATATTTTAACTGTACTTTGAAAAATTTAATAAAATTTACGATTATCATTAGTTCATAATGGTGCCTACAAATAAACTTCTTTTAGTATCCTTATTGAAAAAATATTATTTGGCATAGCTGCCAAATAATTAAAATGTAATTATAAAACTTTTATCTGATATAACATTTATTAATTAAAAATATATTATTTTTTATCTTTTTATTGACACAGAGGACAGACGGCTTTACACATCGCAGCTGAGCAAAATCTGCGAGATATTTGCGTGATGCTGGTAGCTGCGGGTGCCAATTTAGAGCTCAGAGATTTGTTCGGCAACACACCGATGATGGTGGCTTTCAATAAGAATGCCACAGAAATTGCGGCATACTTGGAAAGTAAGCGTATATTAGAGGAAAAAAGGAAGAAATTCAAATAAAATTTGTATTGATGTCAATGCAAAGTGTATGCTTGAGAGATTCCTTATGTGTAATTATATATAGTGGAGAAATCCGCCGCCTGTAGAAATTAATGAAGAAAGCGACAGATGTTTTTGCTAGTGAATATTACGAAAGCTTCTTGAGTTTTACTGTAAAATACTCAAAAAACCGACAAACAATCTATAATATTAAATTATTTTTTATTTATAGTTTTAAGTTGGTAATTTTTTTGTTGTGGAAATTTAATTTATGTATTTAAAGTAAAGTAATTTGGTAAAGTAATTTTTTTTGGTAATATAGAAATTCATATTGAAATGTATTTATTTGGGAAATTTTATAATATTAATTTTAATCATTTTTTATGTTTTTTACAGTAAAAAAAATTTTTGGTTTTAGTAATAAAATTTTATTAATGGTTTATTTTCTATTTTTTTAATGTTACCACTCAACTCTCGGATGCAACAAATTTAAATATTTGCTTATACAAATATTAATAACATATGAACAAAAATTAAATTTATTTTAAAAAATTGTATACCAAAACTTTAAATGTAAAACAAACAAATTGAATTGCATTCCATAATTGTAAGGTCAAGAAAGGTTCTTGCATATTGACGTGCAGGCAAGAATATAAAAAAAATTAATTAATTTTAATTAATAAATTTGAATTTGATACACATTGAATATATTGAATAAATTTTATTTCTTAAAATTTTTAAATAAATAAAATTAATATGAAAAAGATTAAATAAATTTGCATTATTAAATTTAAGGCGGGGAAATTCTCTTTATGTTTAAGCAAAGTTTAAAAAAAATACAATAAAAAAACCTGTAAGAATTATATGTAATAATTAAATGACAGCTACATATATTATATAAAAATAATTTAATAACTTAAAATTAATTATTTATTTTTGATTCTAAGTAGTTAAGGTAACAAAAAAATTAATTCATTTTTTTCTATTTATTATTATAATTAATTTATTAATAAGTACACAATTAGCTTAGGTATAAAAATAACATGAATCAATATTAATATAATTTGCTATAAATTCCTAAAGAAAAAATAATTGGTGAATTGCACGGAGAATATTAAGAAAATTCGAAACTTTTAATGTGATATAAATTATTAACAGAAAATTAATATGAAATTGTATAAGAACATTTATAGCATTATGCTTTATAGCTTGTAATTAAAAATCGTTAAATTTTATTTTAATTAAGTAAAGAAGTCATAACATGTCATATATGTATGCAAATAATTTGTATATAAATAATTTAAAAATTTTGACGGCAATTTTAAAAAGAAAGAAACAAATATAGAAAATTAATATCTGTTGAAAATAAAATTTAAATTTATAATTATTAGTAACAATAAAATACTCAACGAACTCCTACTTTACTTATTTAAACAGCAAAAAATTATTCTAAATTACGCTAAAGTCTATAGTTATAAAGCTTAGTATAACTAAACCTATATCTTTCCTATATATATAAAAGACGTTTGATAAAACTAAATTAAATTTTCTTAAAGAAAATATATATAAAATTATAAATTATACTGTAACTAATAAATGAAATTAAAATTTATATTAGTTTCCAAATTCGAATTGAGACACAAAAAAGTATATATTTTTTTACTTACTTAAAAATATATTACATGAATATTACGTAAATAAAATCTTAAAAATATTAATGTAAGAGAAATACTTTTCAAACAAAAGACTTTAATACTCACGAAATTTTTTTAAAGTGTATATTAACCTCACATAAATTTTGTTCTCATAAAGTCAAGTAAATTGTAAAATTTTTAAATATATTTAAAAATATTTGTGAATCGATTTCTTTTTACTTAAATGTAAAATTAGCAACATAAAGTCAATTAAAAAAAATAAAAAATTTTGATATTAAGATTGTAAAAACAAAAAGTTATAAAAGTCTATATACATAATTGTACATATTAATTAAAATTTAAAAAACTTTAAATAGAAATTTAAAAATTTGTAATTTGCGGAATATATAAGGTATATAAGATAACACATAAAGTTTATATAATTATGACTTAGATTTTAATTAATATAACAATATATTGTATGTACAATCAATTTTCGGCTACGAATGTTTTTATAAAAATAAATTAAAATAAGTAATTTCAGAAAAAACTTTTAACTGAGAGAAAGCAAATCAATAAGTTTTAAGAAATAAAAAGAAAATATAATTATTAATAACAATACGATTTGTAATTAAGATTAACTGTCTCTTTGAGAGTCACTTTTAGAATTATCTTTATTTATAAATATAATCTTTATTTGAATTTTAGTTGTTAAATTGACCAACAAACTTTTGCTCTTTTTTTGCCATTACTTAAGACGCGCGTGTCATTATTTTAAGAGATAGCTCACTTCAACATCAGGAATGAAGTTTAACCCCTCAGAACTGGTAGCAACAAGGAATTTAATTCGATTTTTCTAGGTATATTAGGTGTACCGGTATGAAATGAGCGTTTTTTGGTAAAAATAAAACACTAATTATTAATAGGAAAGTAAAAAAACATTTTATTCAAAGTATTGACCATTGCTTTCTACACATTTTGACCACCTTTCTGGCAATTTGTGGATACCACGCCAAAAAAATTGTTCGTCTTTTAAAGCAAACCAACCAGACACCCAATTTTCGACCTCGTCGTAGGAATCAAAGTGCTGCTCAGCCAATGCGTGTCCCTTCGATGAAAACAAATGGTAGTCGGAAGGAGCCAAGTCTGATGAATACGGCGGGTGGGATAGCAGCTCCCAGCCAAGTGTTTTTATTGCACCCTGAACCCGTTTTGCTTTGTGTGCAGGTGCATTGTCATGGAGCAGAATTACCTTGCCGTGTCTTCTGGCCCATTCTGGTCGTTTCTCGATCAATGCATGGTTCAAATTTATCATTTGTTGCTAGTAGCGACCAGCATTGACGGTTTCACCAGGTTTTAGGAGCTCGTGGTACACCACACCTTTCTGGTCCCACCAAACACACAGCATTGTCTTCTTGCCGAATCGATCTGGTTTTGCAGTCGATGTTGATGGTTGTCCCGGATTAACCCATAATTTTTTCCGTTTAGGATTCTTAAAATAAATCCATTTTTCATCGCCAGTAACAATCCGATGCAAAACCGATTTTCTTTCGTGTCTTTGAAGCAAAATTTCACAAGTGTTTTTTCGGTTTTCCATCTGTCTTTCACCTATTTTCCACACTTTTGGATCTTTCCAATCGCTTTTAAACGGTCAGAAATTCTTTGTTGTGCAACATTTAACATTTCTGCCATTTACTTTTGACCCAAAGTGTCATCTCCATCCAATATCGTTTGCAATTCGGCGTCTTCAAACTTTTTTGGCGGTCTTCCACGTTCTTCATTTCTCACATCAAAATCATTATTTCTGAACCGTTGAAACCATCTTTTGCATGTTGCTTCTGATAGAGCATGATCACCATATGCCTCGACGAGCATTCGATGCGACTCTGCACCACCTTTCTTCAAATGAAAACAAAAAATTAATGCTTTCCGCAAATCATCACTTTCTGGTACAAAATTCGACATTTTTAACACGATGAAAAAATATAATGTTGTCTGTTCAATGACTTGATGTATACTAAATATATTTCACACATATCATAGCAAACAAACAAAAAGAAATAAAGGCTCGTTCACAACAAATGTTCCCTGTCAGAACATTTGTATCTTTACGCTCACTTCATACCGGTACACCTGGTAGAGATATCATTGAATATATAACTTTTTTCGTACTCATTGATGCCGAAAAAAATTAAGGATAATCTGTAAATGATTACTAGCAACTATCAAGTACTAATCGATTTAATTGATCATTAGACTCTTAAAGAACGTAAACATCTTTCATGATTATGTTTTGTGGATGGATAAGATCTGCTGTAGTTCAGTTTTGGGCATTCAGGAAAAATGCGTTCAGATTTTACAATATCCATTTTAAAAAAGCAACAATTATTGGACTCTGATAGGGCTATTTGATTGTACAACTACCTCCAGTGGATTGTCAGTAACCAGCAGAGCATTTGGATTAAATTTAATCTTTGAATTAAAGTATAAACTTATAATAAATGTATTACATTCCTGTTTCTGATTAGAGTAATATCGACACTAATAGTCAACTTTCAATTATACAATTAAATATGTCCTAATTATAAAGTCTTTATAAAATTATTTTAAATTTGGTACTTGAATTTTTTAACATAATGGAAACTTTTTGATTTGCTTTCATAACGTAGTTAACTTAAATTATGAATATATAAAATAAAATAATACATTTTTAAATTATAAAGTTAAATAAATCATACATAAAAGTAAATTTTTTAAAATTTTATAATTAAGTAAATAATTGAAACCTTTAATTGCAATTAAAAAAAATAATTTTCCATAATTTGTGGTAAATATACAAATATAAAAATTAACTATATTTATTTATGGTAAAGTATGTTTTGGATTTCTTTAAATAAAATGAATATTTATAAAAAACATGAATTATATATAACAAAAGAGGATCACTATATGAAAGCAAATAATTTATTGCATTTTTATAGCCCCTAAAAGTGCAATAAATTATATTTAAATTTAAAATTATTATGATTGCGCTAAACAAAAGTTTAATGAATTAAAAGAATTGATATCAAAAAGATATCAATATCATGAATAAAAAAGAATTATTTTAAAAAGCAACAGCAATATAAAATATAAAACGAACATTAAAATCAAAAATTTTAAACTGTTAATTTAATTTGCAAAAAAATTAAACTTCAAAAAATAAATAAATATTCTATAAAAATATTAAATACAAATATAAAATAAAATCACAAAAAGAAAATATATAATATAACATATGTAAAATTAATATATAATATAAAAATTTGATATTTAATATATTATGATATATAATAATATAATATAAAATATAATATAATAAGTAATATATAATATAATATAATATAATATAATATATAATATAATATATATTATAATATATAATATAATATATAATATAATATATAATATAATACATAATATAATATATAATAAAATATATAATATAATATATATTTAAATTAAATTAAAAGTCAAACAAAATTAATTTAAAAAATCAATTGATATATTTCAATTATCATAATTGAAATTAGTATCGGAAAAAATAAAGAAAAAGTATTCTTTGGTTTTCAATCTCGCTAAAGACGATCATCGAATATCATTAGCATAACTTCTCTGTAATAATAAGCAACTATAAAGGAGAGACACACAAAGAAAGCAAAAATATAAATTAAATGTGTATACATGAAGAAAAGGATTGAAATCTATCAAAAAGAACTATAATCAGTTAATTCAACTATTTATGATATGAGAGCAAGTGACACTCTACGTTAGAACAAAAGTCATGCGCTTCAAATTTGGAAATTTTAATTGTCAAATTCAAGAAATATTATAGAAGACCACTGATAACGAGCGTATAGTCGAATTCAATAGTAGTATAGAAAGTCAAAAATTCAATTACTAAAAAATAATAATTTTGTTGTTGTAATTCACTACTGTCAAAACCTATCTAATATAAAAAAATACATAAATTGAAAGAATCGAACAAGCAAAAAAAAAATACAAAAGAAAATTACATGACAAAT